CTTCCAACGTGTGAAGTGCGAAAAAACAGGGGGGGGAGGGGCACGCTCCGAATGAAGTCCTGGAAGTTGACTCGATAGGGAAGAACGTTACTGCACAACCTCTGGTTTGTGACGGCGAAAGACCGGTCACTTCAGTCACCGTGACGTATTACCGCTTACTTCGTGCTCCTTGTTGCGTGATAGGTAGATCGGGTGGAGGCCCAAACATAGTTATTATTGGCACTGGAGCAAATCCTCCCCTGGGCCGGGTATCGTGTTATATCGAATGATGTTTGTCCTGGCTCCAAGTCCCCAACACTCCAAGACTGTCTCTACCAGAAGGACAATGCCCCCTATAGCATAAGGTATAGCGTAAGGATAAGAATCAAGAATAGATACACAACCATTCATCTGAGCATCCGTTTTATAGAACACAGGTCAGGAGTTTGTTTGTACACGCTAATCAACAAACAATTAGAAAAAGAACAATACCATAAAATAACACAACTTATCAATCTTGGAGGGAAGTTCTGAGTATTATGATAATTTGACATTTCATGATATGACCTATTCCCATGCCATCACACCACTTATCTCCTTACATCACTAATTTGTCATGTCTCAATGTCTCATTTGTAAAATTATACAAGCCTAAGGTAGCTAAGCATATCTGTCAATGAATATAGAAAGATTCTGCGATTGACATATTTCAACATGAGAGCCATCTGATGCTGATGAGTTAAACATCAGCACATCATAAGCATAAAAGTCACAGTATTAGATCTGACAACACACAAGCAAATAGACACTCACATTCCCATTCCAAAATCCTACAAGTAGTATAAAAAAATCATCTTATCCCACACGCAAGATCTATTTGATGTGTTGCAAAGTAGGACCAATAGGAGAGAAATGAAACAGCGGGTACTGGCATAACAATTGTAGCAACTTGATCGTAATAGATGTTGCATACCTACCCACATCTCATTTTTCCCCCTACCTGACTCTATCTAACAGAACATGAGCCATTAGATGACTATTGACAAGCTAAAGTTTTTCTAGGCCAGAAGTACAAACAACAAAACAAAAATTTCAAAAAGAAAACATCATTTCACCACCCCAAGTTTACTATCAGTATCTATGTCGTAAATATATGAGAAAAAAGATATTTCAAATTAAAAAACTACCCCCTTCAAAAAGGTTGTCATTAGAGAGACACAAAATCTTAAAATACATGGATATTAAGTACAGTTTTTGTCATACAAGTCTAGAGAACACATCCATGTGAAGTAAAGTCTCAGACACAGCAATGCCACAACAATATCATAATAAATCAAATTTATTTGACAAAATACTTGTTAAGTGATACCATATGCAAAATCACTTCTTTAAAAAAAAAATATATATTTTACGTAATTTTTATCCTGTTTATAAACAATATTGGTATTTAACTGCTTACACTTTTAAGTTACTAGAAGGCACTTCAGAATTTGACCTGTGATATTGGTCAAAATTAGACTAATGCCTTGATAATGAAATTACACGAGACAGATGTATCACAGATGGACATAATAGGTAAAAAAGATAGAAAAAAATATGTTTCCAAATTGCTAAAAGAATTTCACAACCAAAAGTAAAATTTTAGACCAAACAATAAAATAATACATACAAACTAAAACAGAATATCTTTGGAAAACTTTTGAAATAATATATACTAGTTAACTTATCCTTGAACACTACCTCGTAGTTGTTGTTTCCTGATGTTTCTTAGTCTTTGATTGCAATAAATTCTTAAAAATATTGCAATGAATACAACACACACTCCAAAAGCAGCAAACGTAGAGAGATGATGATCATAAATAATGCAAGAGAGAAGTATAGCAAGCACCTGAAATGTATGGATTAAAAGAAATGTAAAAAAATTGAACCTATCAACATAACACTAGATAATTAGAAAATCTGTACCTGTCGTAGGGTGGTAATGATAACAAATACAACTGGTCCAAATGTTGATATGGTATAGAAAATGAAGAGCTGACCGGAGGCAGAACATAACGATAGGAGAAAGCAATCAATTGCAAAAGATGGAAACTGAAAAAGAACATGTAAACATAGAATGAAGAGCGACAAAAAGAATATATTTCTCAAACCTTAATAAAAGAAGTTATGTACCTGACTCATGAACAGAATGGATTTGAATAGACTTCCTTGAGACACAAGAGAAACAGCTGTTAAGAGGCATGAAAATAAATTCACACCACACATCATCTGAACAGAACTCATATGGTATTCTGAGAAGAGTTTGCTTTGCCAATTTGATGTAAAGCTATCCATTGTCATGTACATTGCCATCAAAACAATGCCAGAAACCGTTGTTTCTTTGACTCCTGCAATTAATAAGTTAAAACATGTATACGTAGTATATTTTACTTTCAAATTAGTTTTGCCGTTAGAATTTTGGAAAAGTTGAGGCACAAGCAAAGGGTTACCTTTCTGATCTCCTCCATTATTCAGCAAGAACATAACCATGCCAATTGACATCATCACAGCAGTTACGTATTCATAGTATTCAAACTTCTTCTTCGAGACAACTTTTCCCATCACCATAACAGGAATTATCTTGGATGCTTTCACAAGAACCTTAAAATAACAGTTAGACAGTGGTCTGTTAATTTCTGTCATATTTACATATTACTGGTCAATATGTTACATGAAATTTGAGTATAACACTCACCTGAGTTGGGAAGGTTACAAATTTAAGAGCTTCATACTGGCACCATGAACTGAGTATATTTGTCAAAGAACAATAGACATACTTGTAAAGAGGGCAATTATTTCGTGGGTACTTGGTGAACATGAGATGTATGCCTGAAAAGGCAAAGGCTAGAACACGGTTGACAAATACCAGAAATTCTGAATCTTTAAAATTAGCTCTCTCGTCATCTGAGTTGTGATATTCCTGTGTAAAATAATAGATACTTCAACTACTTGTCACAGTTGCTAGCAAAAAACAGAAAAAATTTAGTACCAACCTGGGTCATTATTTTTTCCTGCAACACACCCCAAATGAGGTAAGAAATCTGTAAACCTCCAAAACAATAAAGAAGCTGTAAAACTCGTTTTCCATGTGAGTGACTTTGCAGTGGAGGGTTTGATGTGGAATCAATAGATTTTGGTAAATCGGAGTAAGGCTCTGCAAGACAAAGTCTTACAAACCTTCCAAAACTGCCAAGATCTGCAATTAGGAATTCTTGTCAGAAAGCAGCATTCAAGTAATTATCCCTCTCAAAGATCAAAATACCTGTTCTTTCCAAATACTGGGTTGATTCCACATATTTGTATGCTACAAAGCCTGGCACAAGAATGCACCCATACGCAGCTAAATTTACACAGAGCCGCAATAGCCATGATTCCTCGACAATTGACTGAATTACTATAGTCTGGATGATTTGCATCGTAAGATACAAGATGAAGAACAACAATATGATCAGCACCCTAAAACAAAACAATTCAATGCAATGTACCATCAACATCAAACCACAAATTTCAATGACGCACAGCTACTTTAAAAACTAGAGTATTTATGATTCACAATTTTTTTTTTGTAAATGTCTATTGAGAATACCTCAACATATCTCCAGAGTAGAATATGTTTTCATTAATTATAATCATTTTAAGATTGATCAAAATTAGCTATTTGAAAGTGTTTACAGTATTCTTATTGAATAGAGAATGGACAAATTGAAGCTTAGTACTTCAAATTAAAATTATAATACGCTGAGTCAAAGTGCCACAACAGCAAAGTAGCTAGCATCATCTTATCTCAGTTAAGAGTTGTAAAGTGATGACCAAGCATCACTTTAGATGAATACGCAAATGTCAAGAAGGGCAATAAGGGATGCCAGCAATTACGTTATGATAGACAAAAAGAAAAATATACACTTTACCCTAGTACAATGCCTTGGTATCTTCTAACCATTTTGGGACTGTGACAGAAATCTTTGTAGAAATACTGTTGAGGGGTAAGGTAAGGTATTTTGTGAAGACAATACAATAAGTAAACCTCTACAATAATATTTTAAAATAAATATGTTATAAATATTGAGATCACTCTATGCAAAATAGGAGTCCTGTGTAATGGGTATTGAAAAATACTGATCTAAACGGTCAGCACGAATGTCATGCTTTCGAAATTAACTCATAGTGACCGAAGTTACAAGTGATCCATTTTAAAAACAAAAAGGATTATTTTTCAAAGATATCTAAAAGAACAGCTGTCTTCTGCTAACTCAAAAAGGAAGCCATCGTCACAAAACCTCCAAATCAGCATTGGGGAGAACTATGTAAACATGGAAAACATGTATGAGAAAATAAAACAACAAAATCAACACACAGCAGTGCTAACGGCATCATTAGGTTAAAGCTACTAAAATAATCAAGAAAAAAAAGACTCGAAGTTAAAAAATATGTTTTTAATAGTAATCTGCTCATCGTCATGGTGGATAGAGTTGTCATTCTCTTCGTCGAAACGAAATGTTCAATGACTACTGAACTTCTCATAGTTTCGGGCGACGGTTGGTTGACGGTTGAAGAGGGGGTGCAGGGGAGGGTGGAGGGGGTAGAAGCCCGCCGCGCCGCGCCGGTCCGTCCGCCGTCAGTTCAGTTTTCGTAACGATCTTTCAGAATTCAAACTTAAAGAATGGGTTGGGGTAGGCTGGGTGCATTTTAAAGTACTTTTAATGTTGAACTCGTGTATTGTGTGTTCAACCTTTTTATCAATGTAGTAGACTGCACGTTTTATTTTAAATCTTATCTTTGTTTTTAACTCTTGAACACCGTCTTATTGTAACCCTTCGCTGTTGACACACACTAGGACGACAGTAAGTATAGGTCTTGACGAGTCATTTAATTTTTTTTTTGTGGCTTGGTGGTTATAAGCGAGATGTCTGTTTGATCGAAATGCTATTTTAATCTTTTTCTGGGGTGTTTCCCTCTGTTAAGTTACCGATTTTGTTCACCTAACCACAGCCGCTTACGTCACTCTAGATTGAGTGAAGTGCTTTTGAGTTTATGTTGGGTTTCTTCATTAGTTTTGTTTATTTTGGCCTAGAATCTAGTATCACTTCCTTGTTAATTTATTCCGGTTTTCATTGGAATGTGTGCACAATCATGAGAGTGCTTGTTTACAGATTGTTGACGACATTTTACCCCTTGTTTCAGATGGATGATTGTGAAATGGAATATGACAGCATTGATGCTGAGTCAAGGAAAGTGGAATTCAAAACCCCCATGCCTGTTAGTAAGAAGATTTCTCAACACAGCCACAGTGAAAGTGGATACCTCACATCAAGTTCAATCGATATCAACTCAACTGCTGGAAGCTGGACATGTAGTAGTATACATTCTGGACAAAAGTCTAGTTGTCGAAACACATTGTTTCCTCCAGATGCCTCTTCTAATGACTCCCTGCTGTTTAGTTCTCCTGAGAGCTCATCCAAAAAGCTGCATGTCCTCCGATCTCTTGAGACTTCCCCAGATTCTGGACTTGGCAGCGATTCAGTATTTACTGATGATGAGCTCAGTCACCAGACTCCTTCAACAAAACGTCCTGCTACACCTGAACTGCTTACAAGCTCTCTTAGAGTAGATACTGTCTCTCTAGGTGGGAATGTTACTAATTCATTATGGCAAAGTACTCCACTATATCCAAACTCCAGAAGCATTCGACCAAGCTTTTCAGAAGAAGTTTTTGAAAAGAGTCCTACTAAACGACGTAGAGCTTCAACATTAAGAAAGCCATCACGTGACCTCTTTCCTGTTGATAGTCCAAGTACTTCAACAGCTACTCAAACCTCACTTGTTGGCTGTAAACAGGTTGATTTCCTGTTTTATTTGGGCAAAAAGTCATCTTGTCAACCCGCTTTGGATTCCATCCTGGCAAATTTGCAACCAGCTGATTTGTGTCGGGCGAGCATAGTCTCTCAATCCTGGAAAAATGTGATTGAAAGTGTTCCAACTGCTAGTCAAAGAAAACAGGACTATATTCTTCAATGCTCACAAATAAAAGAGAACTTACACCAGGTAAACACAACACTTGTTCATTTTGGAGGACTTTTGTCATCTAGTGTCTTACCAAATTTTGTGCTTTGAATTACAGTCTACGAAGAAATCTGATGGTATACTTCCATTTAGAGGACAACTTCTTGACATCCAGAATTTCAATCGAACAGAAGAATTTCCAAGTCCAAGCCCTCGTAGCCCTCCAGTCAGCCCAAGTAAAGTGAGGTTTCATTTATATTGTAAGGTGAGTATATTTTCTTCACTTTGAAGGATGCTTTGTACCTCAACATTAGCCGTCAACTTTCAATTGATTTGTCAATTTTGTACTGATTTTGTACTGATTTTGTACTCTTTACAGGAGGGGAGAAAATTAGGAGATGGACAAACTCTAGTCCAGTGTCCTAAGTGCACCCTGCCTTCCAGAAAGGAGACAGAGAGAGCTGCTCGGTGTACAAGACGAGGTTGCCAGTACTACTTTTGTGTGCTTTGTCTTTGTAAATTTCACGAAGATAAATCATGTCCTGTGTCAACAGTTCGACACAGGAAAAGAATAACATCAATAGGAAGTCGTGAGAGCCGTCGTAATCTGCAGCGTCTGTGAAAGTGAGTGCTCAATTCAAATCAGCTATTATTATATGTTCTTAGTGCTCACTTTAGATTAAGGCTATATTTTTATAAATTAACTGCGAGTTGTGATACCGGTCCAGTGTTCATATTATTGCATCCCGTGTATATGATGATCTTTGAGTACCTGATATTTTAATTATTTTTATGTACTTATTAAAATAACTAAATAAGAATTAAAAAGAGATATTTTCCCGCATGTCTATTTATACTTTCTGACAACCTACCTGTAAAATATCTCTTGGTCATGCGACTTTATATAGTGTAGTGTGCCGGTACATCCTTAGTCTGTATTGGTATATTGTAATTTGGTAACTTGAGTTGTCAACATCAGAGTGCACTGTCAGTGGATGCATCTGATAACAATGTTGCGAAGCATGGCGGGTTCATATAGGCTGTTCTTAAGTGATGGATTGAAATACTCCTTCCCAAATAGTGTATTTTGGTCCTTGTTAACAGTTCTAATATTTCATACTTGATCCAAATTAATTTTATCACATTGACTAAAGTCCTCACTGTTAAATAACTTATCTGAAGTTATTTTAACCATAAGCCTATCACTACTCATAATGCAATGTACCAATATCTTGGTTTTATTCTACCTTCGTCCAGTGGGCAACATAGATTGACACCTAGAAATATGCTAGGTGTTGACTCTAAACAATGCTGACTTAAAATCTTACTACGAACTAATATAAATAATAGCATTGCACTAAACAGAACACTTGATGATTTCTGGAATATGCAGAAGTAAAATTATAATTGATTTGGTCATGTTTTAACATAATCAAGTTTTCTTATGTCCCTGAGGTTTGCTTTGATACCTATTGACTTAATGAAAATACAGTCAAAAGAGCAAAGACAGATCATGAAGAGAAAGTTAACTGCTACATAGATAAAATGTATAAGATAATAAGGTACAATACATCATCCTTCTGTATTAATTCCTATTACGTAGTTGGAACATTGTGCACAGTCCAAAGTCTTTTTAAAGATATTACAGATACTATCAAAATGATCACTGGATAATAGTTCAAGATTATTTTCTAATATGATCAGATATTCTATTTAATAGCTGTTCTACAAAAATTATCTGAGGATGACAATGATTATTATACCATAAGCTGAAAGCAATTTTGGCTTTAAATAATTTTCTAAGAGGTTTGTTTGTTTTTCTTTTTTTAAAGATTTTACTTTTGGTGGAAACAGTCCCATACCAAAACATACAATCACCCATCAGGGGAACACAAACATAATTCATATTATTTTAACATTACAACAGTTCTTTTCTCTGGGAAAATAATAAACAATATGTACAGATTTTGATTGAGCAATGTTGTGGAGAATTAGAGAGACATCACACGCTTTGCGTTAGCATCAACTGCAATTATTAAATTTTGTTATACAACCACAAAATCTTGTTTTGGAGTTTTCAGATAACCCCATTGATTGTTCAGTAGAACATCTCTTCAGATAAATCTTGTGTAAACATTGTTTTCTAACAACATATAAAATGAATCAATCATCACAGCCTTTGTTTACACTTATGATTCCTCCTTTCAAGTCTTTAATTATTGTCTTGGAAACATTTATTTCAAACGTCTTTTTTATGAAACATGCTTCCTTCCCGAAGACTACGCAAGGGTCATTAGTCTGGTTTGTGGCACAACCTTGCAATGATAGAACATGGCACATGCAGCATGTTTTGCAGTTTTATTTGTTGTGCATCAATACAAAACCATTTACTCCATAGAATTGGTTAATACTTCTAAATATTCTTGAAGCACTATTAATGTTTCACTGGTTGAGGCAATCATTTTCTTTATTCCCTTTGCAGGGTTTGGCCTTTTTTTTAACTTGCTTCTCCCGTAGAATATTCACAGATTTTTATCTGGCCATTAGACACTGCCAGATGAATATTTTTTTTTGTACCAGCTTCTAGTTGCACTTATTAACCCAGGCCAAATACATATTTTGGTATTTGATATGTGAAAGATGGGATTGCCATGATCATTGACATCCTGAAACAAGGAAGAAAGGTGTCAGTGCACTCAGTCCTTTTCTCCAAGAACAGTTACAGGATAAACTGTATTTAAATGAATTTGGTGCTGAAAAGTATTATTACAGCAAGTTAGCATTAGAAGGTAACGATGAAAACTTACCCAGAATACTTCCAATGAAAATCCTTCACCACTATAATAATTTTAAGGTAAACCATCACCGTTACAGAATGCAAACCATCACCATCTAGAATAATACAATCACCCTTCAGAACTGACCCTCTTGTCTACTCATGCTTATTTGTGCTTGTGCCAAGTTTGTTCAACCCAGAGTTTCAAATGCAGAAATTCAAGAATGAGTGCCTTACAAATAGCATTTTAGGCTAATTTATCCCTTTTTTCCCCTTGTAGAGTATGTTGTATTTTATGGTGCGTCTTAATCCAAAACTCATTATCAGTCTAAAAAAGCAGTAGTCCTATGCTGTTAAATAAAACATGCGCAATCCAATAAAATGAAACATACGACAGTGCCAGTCCATTGTATATCCATGCTCGCCATCCTGTTCTGGTATTTGCATCAATACGACTCTCAATTTCCTGACACAAGAATTTGCGATCATGTGACTTTCCTGATCTCATATCACATATCATTCTCTTTTTGCATTCCCCATCACATGGTGGTCTGACAGGTGAATTTTTCCAGTAATGCCTGTACAGAAGAAAATTATAGTTACAGATGCTTACAGCAAATACTTTTAACTTTCAAAAAATAAAGTTACCTGTAATATGTATCAAAGAGAGGCCCATCTTGTGCAATCTTGTTGATTAATGTGTCCCATTCTTGAGGAAGAAGGGATGGCATCTCATAAGTTTCTCTAACAGAGTATTCTTTGTACCAAAGTGGATAATCGTAAACATTAGCATCCTTAAGGTTCATGACCCATGTTTCATGGTCTACAACTGCCTAAGTGAGAAATTGGAAAGAAACCATTCAATTAACTAGCTACCAATGCATTGCATTGATAAGAAACAAATTGAGTAAGAAAGTAAATTTACCCTAGTAGTATCCTTATGATCACCATCAACATAATAAATTCTATATCCCGGATTAAGATCATAATAGGGTGTGACAGATGGCCCGATGTAAGCAACACCAACTGCTCGCCCTAGATCTTCAGTATCATAAAACAATTCAAACTCATCATAATGAGTGTGACCAAAAAACAGAGACACAATTGTGCTCTCGTACCTGCAATGAAAATGTTTATGTTAAAAACAAGATCAGTATTGTGAAGGTGCGAAAGAGAAGAATTGGATGAAATAAACATAGTTATTATTACCTATTAATTATACGATAGAAGTTTCTACTCCATACTTTGAGACAGTCGGAGTGGCCTGGTGGAATATGACCGATTACATGGACTTTTTCCTCGTTGAACTCAGCACTTTGTAGTTCATAGATAAACCATTGCAATTCTTTTGCTGGATCTGTGCTGTTCAACAGGAGCCACCTGTAAGTTAAAGAAAACCAGAGTAAGTTCAGGCTTATTTGCAAACTACTTTACCAAACAGTAATAACATACATACCAATTTTTGTTATTGCAATAATTCATATTGAGAGATATAATTCTGAAACCAGGTCGAACAAGGACACTGTAAAAAGCACCTCTTCTCACAGTGCGTGATACACTTGATGGTAGCCACTGCCTCCACTGGGCATCAAGCTCATCATAAAGCCAATTGATTGAATAATCATTTTGCACAAAAGGCGGGGGGAAACTGCGAATCAATTATGACTAACTTATTATTTGATGTATTTAAACAAAGATCAAAGACAAGTGACCAAATCCACTTGGACTAACCTGTTCACTGGAGCAGCTTCATGGTTTCCTAGAGCAGGAAAAATGGGTATACCTGGAAACAGTTGCGCCATTTGAGCAACTGTTTCTTTCAGGATTGATAAATTTTCTTCTCTAGTTTGATTCCACACATCATGTGGGGGAAGATCACCAGTCCAGATTATATAGTCTATATCCTAAACAATAAAATAGAAAATGAATCAAATACAGCTGCCATAAGCAACTACAGGTAAAAAAATAACATGCATAAGAAAGAATACAAACTGGGTGGGTGCTGGCTATGTGCTGAAGCATGTTATCAACTGTTCTTTTAGGTGTATCACATTTTCTGTAATCCCCCCAGCGCCCAGCGGCAGTTGAGCTTGATAATGCTGGGCCATTTGTCAAACGACAACAAAGTGGCTCATTGCAGTCAGCATTAGTTCCTTCTTGGTAGTATGGATCAAAATGTGTGTCTGACAAATGCAGAACTTTGAATGATGGGGCTCCTTCCTAGAAATCAATTAATTAGGAAATTGTAATTCAAATTATTCATCCAATAAATATATACTACAGGGAAGACATTCTTATACCGTTGGAACTTTGGGCTCTAGAACTTCTGGCTTTGAGACAGGAGGGAAAACCACTTTCCACTCATGGAATGGGTTGTAAACATCACCACAAGCATCTCCAATAACAAATGAACAGACTTCTTCCGGACCCAGAGAAACGCGTTTCAATACATGGACCACCTCTCCCTGAGGACATTCTACAGATTAATATAACACTCTTATAAAATCAGTTTTTCAAATGAATTAAATCTTCGAGATACTCACTCCAAAGAGCTCAGTGAGTCCCTCACACACCCGAGGGGACTGAATTTTGAGGCTCACACAAAACTGATAGACGATTTTATTGATGTCATCCCTACTTTTGCCGCCTCTTAAGTAATGCTGAATCAGACCAACGCCTGTAAGATAGGAGTATGCATTCATTTTTATGACATGACGGCCGATGGACCGGGTGTATAAGAGCAGACGCCACAGTGTTGCGGGTTTGCATGCCACCGACTGTCGACCGTTCTTTGGAGCTAAAAGATGTGAAGCGATAAGCGACACACCAACACCCAAAAGTCTGTGTGGTACCACGCACCTGCCTTGCACGCCGTGCACGACACCTTGGACATGACGCTGGTCTCGATCTCCTGTACGACCTGCTTGAGGTCGAAGAGCCACAGAGCCTTGTCGACGATCCTGGGCAACCCGCGGCCCGCGCGCATGTCCAGGGCGCCGCCGTCCATCTCGGCCAGGTCGGCCAGGTCGGCGAGCAGGCTGGTGTAGTTGATGCGCAGGAGCTGGAACTGTCGCGCCGTCTCCACGTCGAGCTGGTCGCCAGAGCGGAGGCGGTTGTCGGCCGCCGCCGCCGCCGCGGGGGCGGGCAGGACGTGGGTGCGGTTGCGCGGCTGCAGCACGGAGCCCGCGGAGCCGCCCCGGCCCGGCGCTGCGGGGGCGGTGTCCACGTCGTTGCTGGTCACGTCGCCACCAGCTGGGGGCCGGCCGGGAGGCGGGCCCTCGCTACCCTCCACGACCTGGTAGCGCTCCACCCCGGGGCTGCCGCCGGGCCCCGCCACGTCCCAGTCGTCCTCGAACCACTCGCCGGCGTCCTGGGGCGGGGGCTCCGACCCGGCGGCCTCCACCGTCGCCGCGTCGCCGGATCGCGTCACTGGGCCACCTGCAACACCGGAAGCGCAGCGTCAGACACGCCCGGGTCCGACGAGGACCGTCCTCTCCGCCCACGAGCTACTCACCCGAGGCGCTAGCGGCCAGCAGCAGGGCGATGATGGCGGGGATGACGGCGGAGGCGGCTGGCGGAATCATCCTGGACCTGCAACACAAACGACTCGGGTCAGACCCGCCGACCACCCGGGCACCGCGGGCCCGCATACCGCGCAGGCGCCCGCAGCGGCAGAGCCGGGCAGGCCCAGGGAGAGAAGGACGAAGGCCGATGCCAGACAATAATCATAGTGTCAGAAGCCCTTGATCGTGGTAAACGGAACGCAAAAATGTCGCCATGTGACACCTGTTCACTCTGGGCCCGGAAAAACACTCGGGCGCAGCTTTGGGGGCGATGGCCTCGAGGGCGCTGGCCTATCCTATGTTCGGTGGGGCAAGACGCGG